GGAAATTTAGGCTTGATCTAAGGAAATACTCCCTAATAATCAGATCTATCTGAAAGTGGAATTGGCTACCTTGGGAGATAGTAGGTTCCCTTTCATTTGAGGCCTCTAAGTAAAGGCTGGGTGACCACTTGTTGGATATATCGTAGAAGGGATCTTTTCCAGGTATGGTTGAAATAGATGTCCATTGAAGTCCTTTCTAACTCTGAAATTCTGCGATTCTGTAATTTAAGGATACTTTTTTTTAAATCTATAAGGATAGGTCAAAGGAAAGGCCTTTGAGTTTTTTCATCTGTAAAGTTGTTAGATTAGCTAATCTCTAAAGCCCTTCTCAACTTTAAAATTCTATGGTAAAACTCCAACCTTGACTTCAAAGCGCTGTTCTGAAATAGTATCCAGCTTGGATAACATGAGTCCCCAAAATGGAAACTGTACTCAGCTAAGAGAGGTCAGTACAAATGTAGCCTCCTTACAGATTATAGTTACCTTGTTGTCTTCTCCAAAGGTGATCATTTCATAAGCAAATTCATCCGTGGGTTTGACCCGTACATACGTGTGCACTTTTTTTCGAGTGCTCATTTTTACTAAGGAGAAAAGAATGGAATTTTCACTAGTATATTAAAAGATTTTAGAATTTTTTATAGGCCCACTAAGTTTTATTAGTATGTGAAAATGATCTGAAAAATTAAGGTTCATTAAATTCTATTTTCTGCTCCTCTGGGTCTTTTTACAAATGAATAAAGCTTTGCTGCAAGCATTCAATCCTTTCACACCAATAATTTCCTGGTGATTTTTTTTGGCTATGAATTATGGAAAACCTTGATCTCAGGAAAAATAAATTTATGACCTGAAGAATAATAGTGAGATAAATGTGCTGCGGTACATCATCAACAGCTTGAGCACAACTGGCATAAAACTCATCATGCAGGCTACAGCATCTCAAAAAGGAAGCAGTGCAGACTACAGAGTAAGAACAAGAAATGACAGCTTGAGTGGTCCATTGGCATCTACATCCCAAGGTATTCAGAGAACTAGAGGAATGCTTCTGAAATGTTGGATTGTGTCTAGGGAGGATTTATAAGAAAGACAGACAAGAATCACACAGAGTAAGATGGCATGGAGGGGTTGCCATCTGTATAAGGAGGGGAGGAGAGTGCCTACATCAATGAAATCACAAATTCATTGAAGCTTGCTAAGTTTAACCTTTATAATTTTTTTTTAAATAAAAGAAGCCCCAAACATTTTCATTATATTTCCAAATTAAGGGAAATTTAAAAGAAGATATCATTTGTCTGGCTTGCTTTGATCTATGTGGTTGGTATGGTGAGGGAAAGAGGCTGTTTTTGGTTAAAGTACAAGCATTTTTGTCATCTAACTCTTTGGAGGAAATCATCATGTTATCACATGTTGACATTTATACTTTCCAGGTATATGAAGAATATCTCCTGGCATCATTTCAAAGGGGAGAAAAACCTAGATGTACCCTTCTCTCAGAGCTCGGTTTATAAAGTAGTTCTTTTGAAAGGCCCCAAGATCTCCAAGTGCCCAGAAGCCCCTGGTGACTGCCAGTACAAGAAAGAGCAAACCAATCATCTTCCACACTTCCCATCTCTTTTTCTGTCCAACTTGCTAGCACCAACCTCACTCACATATTTAACCGACAAATTCCCCAAATGAAATGTCCTTCCTTGCTACCCACCCACATTCAGTCTTCCATAGAACACGCACAGCCTTTGAGACTAAGCCCACCTAGTACAACAACTCCTCTACCCCACCTAGGACCGAGCCAATCCTGTGTTGGCACTTACTGATGCGTCGCTTGTCCTTATGTCTCTTCATTGGAATATTCGGTTCCCCAGTTAGATTTTAAGCTTCTTGAAGGCAGGGGCTGTGTCTTTTATTTCTTATGAATCTCTCCCCACAATGTCAAGTGATATACTCAGCATACAGCAGGTGCTCAGAAAATGCTTGTTGACAGTGATGACCATTGTTAGATGTGGGAGAGTAATTGAGTTTCCATATTCACTTCCATCTTCTTGTTTTACTAAGAGAATGTTGTTTCTCATACCCAGATGTGTTCTCCTCCTGTTCACTTCTTTCACGTGCACATGGGCTCACTCTGTCCACTGAGAACATTCTACTTGTTGAGCCCTTAACCCTTTTCAGAGACTTTTATGAAGACACCCAACTCTCCAAGTGGAGAAAACCTCCTTTTGTTTCAATAAGCTTTTTCTTTCAGTCTTTCACACACATAGCAAAGTCTGGAAAGAACACTAAGTTTGTAGAATCCACTGTTCAGTCAATGTCTAGCATTTTCAGAAAACTTGGGTTAAAGGCCCTTGGCTTAGACTTACAGACCTTTGACAAGCCACTTTAGACCATACCTCAGTTTCCTCACCTGTAAAATGAAGTCAGACTAGATAACTTCTAAGGTCCCTTCCAACTTGAGCATTCTCTGAGTCATCACTCCCTACCTTTATTATCTTTTATCAGTAGTGCCTTCTCAATGTCAGAAACCCCTAATTTTTCCTTTCTTTGTTCTCTCTATAAGTACACTTCCTGGGTACTTCTCTATATGGCATAATTGCCTAACTAAAAGAACAATGAGTTGCTAAGTCCAGGGAATGTGCAGGTTGGAACAATGGGCCAAAACTAACAAAGTAAATGCAAAATACTTAGCTTAAAAAATCATTTAGTTTAAAAAAAGATCAACTGTACATGTGCAGAATAGGGGAGGTGAGACTTTCATGTGAAAGAATCTTTGGTTTATTTAGTGGACTACATTGCGCTCAATGTAAGCCCTGTTCTGTTCAACATTTTGTTAATGACTTGGATGAAGGCATAAATGAGTTGTTTATCAAATCTGGAGATGACATAAAGATGAGAGGGAGAGTTAATGCCTCTGGCTGACAAAACTGGAATCCAAAAAGATCTCCACATGCTGTGGTAATGGGCTGGATCTAAAGAGCTGAAATTCAATAGGAGTGTAAATTCCTACACTTGGTTTCCAAAAATCAAATGTACAAGTACAAAACGGGAAAGAAATGACTAGACAACGGCACATAAGAAAAAACATTCTGATGTTTTAGTAGATTTCAAGTATGATAAAAGTCAGCATTGAGATATAAAAGCATATTATATATATATATATATATATATATATATGTATGCACATACATAAACTTTTTTAAACCAGACCTATCATTACATTGGTAGAGATCCTCTACAATTTAGATTAGCATCTTCTCTTGAATTTAAAGTCTTAGTTTTTTTGCCTGGAGCACTGAGAAGTATAAGCAGTATGTATTAGAAATGAAACCTAAACCCAGGTCTTCCTGACTATGAAGACAGCTTGGTAACCACTACATCAAGCTGCCTCTAATGTAATGTTAGGCTTCATTAATAGAAGAAGCAAGGTGTTCAGGAAAGGGGAGAGAATAATCCCAGCATCCTCTGCCTTGGTCAGACTACAAGTGGATTCACTTCTGGACATCATATTTAAGAACAAAATGAGATGTTGCATGTTCAAAAGAGGATGATCAGGTAGAAGGAAACTAGGACTCATTTGACATCTGGAAAAATGTAAAAAATGAAAGCAAAGCAAAAACCAAGTGGCTAAATAGTGTGTTTGTTCTATCCTGGATGAGAATTGAGACAGCTTTGGACAAGCCACTTATTTGCTATATAACCTGGGTTAAGTCACTTCTTTTTAAATCTCATTTTTCCCCTATATAAAGTTATGGGTTGGCTTCAATGACCTCTAAGGTCCCCTCCAGCTCAAAATTTATAATTCTTACAACTGTGACATATTTCTTCCTTATCAGTAAGTGAACATTTTTGCTTCCTTCTCAAGAAGATCTTTAATCTTTTCAGTGTAGCAGGCATTCTTAATCTGGGGTCCACAAACTTGCTTTATTTTTATAACTATTTCACTATAATTGGTTTCCTTAGAAATCCTATGTGTTTTATGTATTTAAAAACATTATTCTGAGAAGGGGTCCATGCCACAAGACACCACTGGTGTTGTGGAAAGAACACTGGCTTTGGAGTCAGGGCCCTGGGTTTGAATCTCAGCTCCAACACTTACCAGCTGTGTGACTCTGGGCTTCAGTTTCCTTATTTATCATCAGGAGCAAGTCATTCTTGCACTTCTTATGAGAGGAAGGCACCTAGTAAACTTCAAAGTACTACGGGAAATGGGAGTTAGCAATTCTGCAGAGGCAGAGAAGAGCAAACTGAATTTGGAGTCGGAAGAAGCAGGTTAAAATACCAGCTCTCCTACTTACCACCTGAAAGTCTCTTGCTGTATGTGATGGAGTTAGTTCAAGGAGTCCCTTGAATCTTCTCCAGTCCCTTCCAGGTCTGATAGTCTATGTTCTGCCGATTCCCTCAGCTTTCAAACTTAGCACGGGCCATAGTTTGCTCTCCTGGGGATAGCCTCAGTGTGCTCATCTGTACAATGGGGGGGCAATCTAGCCTCCTGACAGGTTTGCTGCGAGGAAAGCGCCTTGAAGCGCTCTAGAAATGGGGGCTATTCTTAGAGACCCCCTCTCCTCTTCCTCCTCCTCCTAGGGGAACAGGCCCTGGCGCTGCTCTGAGCCTCTCGCACCCAGGCCTGTCTCCTCTCCCCTTCTTACCATTCACAGTCAGGCTCCCTACACCCCCTGGAGGGCAGGGACCCCACCAGGTCCGAGGGCGGTTACACCGGCAGCGGCAGAGGGAGCAGCAGCGACAGCGGCGGCAGAGAAAGCTGCAGCAACCAGCCCGCTTCCAAGGCAGGAAACGGAATATTCAGGGCTCTGTGGCGCAGAAATGTGTATACCGTCGCTATGGTGACGTGACGCCATCTGGAATCTCCGGAAACACCCGAGGGGGAAGGAGGGGGCGGGGCAAAGGAAGGCGAAAGCGGGGTGGGCGGGGCTTCCCGAGACCGGCCGAGAGGGAGGGCTGCTCAGAGCCGGAAGTGAGACTTCGGAGTTTCCGGGAGGCGGAACTACGGCGGCCGCTCGGGGCCGCACCTGTCTTAAGCTGCCGGGCTGGTGCAGTTGGGTCGCTGGAGAGGGAGACTCTTTGCCGCCGCACTTGCGGCCGGCCTTGGGGGTGGGGGAAGATGGTGGAGGACGGAGTGGAGGAGCTGGAAGATCTTGTGCATTTTTCTGTGTCGGAGCTGCCGAGCAGGGGATACGGAGTGATGGAGGAAATCCGGCGCCAGGGGAAGCTGTGCGATGTGACCCTGAAGGTGCTGGGGCTGGGGGCAGAGAAGAAGAAGGGGGAGAGATGAGAGAGAAAGGGGAAGTGAAAGAGGAGGTAGGGAGAGAGAGAGAGAGAGAGAGAGAGAGAGAGAGAGAGAGAGAGAATATTGAGGAGAGAGAAGGGAGAGATGGTGGAGCAAAGAGGAGAGAGATGGGGGAGAGAAAGAAGGGAGAGATGGGAGAGGCATGAGACAAGGAGATAGTAGAAAGAGAGAAGGGGAGAGGTAGAGAGGAGAGAAGGAGAAAGGAGAGAGAGAAGGGAGAAATGGGGGAGGAGGGAGAAAGAGAAGGGAGAAGGAAGAGATATGGAGGAGGAGAGAGAGAATGGGGAACTGGGAGAAGAGAGGGATGGGAGGAGAGAGATGGTGGAGAAAAGAGAGATGGGAAAAATGGTGCAGAGAGAAAAGGAGAAGAGGGAAAGAAGGGAGAGATAGGGAAGAGAAAAGGAGACTGGAGGGAGAGATGGGAGAAGACAGAGAGAAAAGAGAGAGGTAAGAGATGGGGGAATTAAGAGCCAGCCAGGGAGGAGAAAAAGAAGGGGAAGTTAGAGAGGAGAAAGATAGGAAAAGAGGGACAGGATAGGTGGTGGAAGACGGAAGGGAGAGATAGTGGAGGAGAAAGATGGGAGAAATGGTAGAGGAGAGAGAGAAGAGAAGAGATGGGGAAGGGAGAAAGGAAAGAGAGATGGTAGAGGAGAGAGAGGAGAGAATAGAAGGAGAGATGGGGAGAAGAGGAAGGGAAGGGGGGAGAAAGGAGGAGATGAGAAAGGGGGAGAGACAGGGAAAGAAAGGAGAGAGAGATGGAGAGGAGAAAGAGAAGGGGGAATAAGAAAGATGAGAGAGAAGGAGAAGAGATGGGGAGGAGAGAGAAAGGGGAGAAATGATGGAGGAGAGAGAGAAGGGGAAGATGAGAAAGAGATAGGGGAGGAGAGAAAAGGGAGAGAAAGATCAGGGAGATGGAGGGAGAGAAAAAGGACAGTGGGAGAGAGGAGAGAGAAAAGAGATGAAAGAAGAAGGAGAAAAGGGGATAGATGGGGAGGAGAAAGAAGAGAGGAGGAGGAGAGAAAGGAGATTGGAGAAGAGTGAAGGGAGAGAAGGAAGATGAGAGAAGGGAGATGTGAGGAAAGGGAGAGAGGGATGGGAAGCAGATAGAGAAGGGGAGAAGAAGGAAGAGATATGGGAAAGAGGAGAAAGAAGGGGGAGAAAAGGAAGAGAAACAGGAGGAAAGAGAAAAGGAGAAGAGATATGGAAAGAAGGAAGAGAGAAGGAGAGATGAGAGGAAGGAAAGATGAGAGAAGGAAGGGAGGAGAGAGAGATGGAAGAAAAGAGAGAGATGGAGAAAAGTTAGAGGTGAAAGAAGAGGGAGAGAGGAGAAAGAGAGATGGGGGAGGAGAACGAAGGAGGACAGAAGGGATAGATGGTGGAGGGTTGAGAGAGAAGAGGAGAGAAAGAAGTGAGAGAAGATAGATGAGAGAAGGGAGACAGATCAAGGGAGAGAAATGAGATGAGAACATGATGGGAGAGGAGAGATGAGAGAGATGGGCAGGAAAGAGAAGCACGAAGGAGAGAATAGGGATGGGGAGAAAGGGTGAGAGTTCTGTGGGTTTGGGTTTGTAGGAGATGAGAAAAGGGGTCATTGAGCAGAGTGGCAGTGTTAGGGCTCTAGGTGTTGTGCATTGTGTCTGTGGGGAGAATCAGGGTTTGAGACAAATGAGAAGAGAGAGGGAGAGGGAGAAAGGAGAAGGAAGAAGGAAAAGAGAAAAGATACAGAGTTTGAAAAAGGATAGAGGATGGTTAGGGGCTAGTGGGAGATCTGATGTTGTGAGGGGAAGAGCAGAGGTTAGGTTTTTGGTACAAAAAAAAGTTTTAAGAGAAAAAGGCTGGGCATCTTAGAGAAGGAAGGCAGGGAAATGATGACATTATTGGTGTGGGGGTGGTTTTGGTTAGGAAGAGAGGCTGAATGTTACCTCCTAGAATCCCTTCAAAGCTCAGCTCAAGTGTTTCTCTGATATGAGAAGTTTCTTCTCTTAGTGTTTCTCCTGTATGAGGCCTTCCCTGATTCCTTCCAGCTACTATTTCTGTATTCCTTCCCATTACTTTGTATTTCATTTTTATATATATTTTTTACTCACATATACTTGATTTCCCCATAGAATGTAAGTTCCTTGAAGGCAAAGACTTTTTTGTTTGTTTGTTTATTGATTGATTAGGAGAGTGTGTGTCAAATTGATTAAGTCAATACTGAATTTGGGACCCCTTTCTAAAAAGAAAATATGGATTAATTTTTTTTTTCACATATTTTAATGGTGTTGAGGGAGCCTTCCGTTTTCATCTTTTAGTCAGTTCCTGTGTAGAACCAAAGATTTGAAGTATTTGAGGATGTAAAAAAACAAAACAAAACAACCCATCTAACCTACATTTAATTGAGAAAGCATGCCTTCTTGAAGGGGGGGAAGGTGATATCCTTTTTTAGGAGCTGGGGGACAGATTTAAGTGAAAAGAAACTGAGCAGATAGGGAGAAGAAATGAAAAAATTTGAGGTTAGGTCAATAATTTACATTTTGCCATGAAGCAGCAGAAGTTATTGGAGATATAGAAAAGTGGAGTCATGTGATTGTGACAGGCAGATTGACAAAAGAGATCATGGATATCTGGTGAAAAGAAACAGGCTCCTGTTCTGGGATCGGTATACTTGTATCAGCGATTTGCCCATTATAATGAGAGTAGGAGCAGGAAAAGAACTTCTTTGGAAGTGTTATGGAGCAGAAAGAAATTGTGATTTCATTAACTTCTGAACAACATGGGAAAGACAAAAGAATGCAAGTTGCTACTTCTGTGTGACTCCTTGTTAGTGAGTAATATTCACATGTTTTGCCTGATGTTTAAGATCTACAACAACCTGACACCACCTTGCCTTTCCAGCCTTATATCATTATTTCCCTTCACTTACCACTATCCTCGAGCCAAAGTGGATGTTGCTCTGTTTCTGTCCTTTAGTCTCATGTCTCAATGCCTTTGTTAATATTGAATATTCTACCTCTTCTCCACTTACCTGTTGAATTCCTACCTGTCCAGCCCAAATGCCATCTCCTACAGGAAGCTTTCCCCAAGCCTTTTCACTTCCTCTTCTGCTGGTAAAGAGCTTTCTTAGATTTCTCATCACTTGTGTCTTGTAATCTCTTACACTTGCCATCTAATGTTGAGCATTATAGTTATCGATATTTGTTTCTAATCCTTGTATTCGACTGTATAGTTTTGAGGACTGAGATCATATTTGATTTAAATTTTATATCTCTTCAGTGCTATGCACACAGCAGGCACTTACTAAATGTTTGTTGTGTATGTTAAATATATAGTTCTTCCATATAGTCATATTTAACATATATATCAACCTCAGTCTTTTGGAACTACTCTACTTTCCAAAGTCTTAAACGCTGAAATTTCATTGTGATCATAGTCTCTTCTATTTTTTCCATCTAACTCACTGTCTCACACCTACTTTGCCTGTTTTTTGTTTTCTAATTCTTTGATTGTTCACTTTTCCAAATCTCTCATCCCTGATCTCATTGTGAAGTTTGGATGCCATTGCTGGACATTTCTATGGTGTCCTTGAGAGTGCCCTAGAATCCTCCCCTTGTCGTGGTCTGTTGGTCTTGCTACTCATCAGTCTTGGACATATTCCACTCTTTACCCATCTTGCTTCTTGACCCAGGCTGCCAAATGTTATTGGATAAAGTCATGAAACCAGGATGGCTTCACTAGCAATTCTTGTATACTTTTTTATTCAGTTCCTAGTAGATTCCTGATCACCTCCCCTATATCAAGTTTTAAACCTTTTCACTGTTCTTAAGTTCTTCCATATTCTTTACTAAGAAGGTAGAGGTGATTTAACTTGGGCTTCCTCAGCTTTCCTTCTTATCATCTCTAAATTTCTGAACCTTCACACATTCTCTCATCCTTTCTTCTTTTTTCCGAAAAATAACTGACCAACTTCCTTTCCAATCCCAATTCCTCTACTTGTTTCCTTCATTGTATCTCTTCCTGCTCTTTCACACACTTGTTTTCAGTTATCTACTCCCCCTTGTGTCTTCAGTCTCTCCTTTTTTATACTGTTTTCATCCCTTGTGCCTTCAGACATGTTCTGGTCTCACCTTTCCTAAAGAAGAACCTTCCCTAGACAAGATTCTGCTAACTTCTTCAGCTACCATCTTCTTTTTCCTCTTCCCTGAGCTCTTCAACTTATTGAAAGTATAGGCTACCATCACTTCTCCACTTCCTTTCATCATTTTCATACTTATATCCTTTGCAATCAGGTTTTTCCTTCAGTACTCCACTCAGACTTCTTCTGAAATCACTCATGATCTATGAGACAAATCAAGCAGCCTTTTCTCAGTCCTCATCTTCCTTGATCTCTCCACAGCATTTAATGCTGTTGTCTCTCCTCCTCCCTTGGCTTTGGTGAGTGACAGCACTCTTCTGCTTGTCTTTCTCTAACTATTCCTTTTTAGTCCTTTTCTTCTAACTGTTGGCATTCCCCAAGGCTCTGTTTTCACCTTTCTTCTTACTGTATGTTCTTTCCCTTGGTAATTTCAAAACCTCCCATTTCTTCAACTGTCACCTCAGTGCACATAATAATAGCAACTGGCTTTTATAGAACACTTTAAGGTTTACCATGTGCTGCTTTATGTAATTTATCTCATTTGATGCTTACACCAATTCCTTGAGGTAGGTACTATGGGTATATTACTCCTACTCCTATTTTAGAAATGATGTTTGAAAGGAAGGCTCAGAGAAGTTAAGTGACCCAAGATGGTAAGTGTCAAAGGTGAGACTCGAATCTTGTTCTAATGTAAGAGAGAAAGTATTCCTGTTTACTTTTCCTCATCTCCAAAATGTTGCTTCTCACCTAAGTTTCCCTGGGCCTTGGTCCACATTATCCTAGTGGAGTATCTCTTATGTCTCGTATTTGAACTTGGATGGAATACGAT